GGGCAAGGGTGAAGAGTAAGACCAAACTTTAAGAGGATGTCAAAAAAACTCAATAATCAAGAGAAATACTATTTTATTTTATTTATTAAACAAATAAATTTGTTTATTTATTTTATTTTTTACTTATTCATTTATTTAAGCAATCTGTATCCCTAACATGGGGCTCGAATTTACCACCTCGAGATCAAGCGTCACATGCTCTACCAACTGAGCCAGCCAGGTGCCCCAAGATAAATAATATTTTAATGCAATGTTTTAAAAACCAAAATTATGAAGAAAACAATCCATGATGAACAATTTACCAAATTTTAAATAGAGGATCAGTGGGAACTTTGAGGGTGTGAGACTGGAACCGGGGTGGTGGGGGGGGGGTTGTCCACCAAGTGAAGTCACCTATCTAATGCAGAAAAGAAAGTTCAACCTGGAAAGAGAGTCTTATTTTTTTTAATGTTTATTTATTTATTTTGAGAGAGAGAACGAGCAGCGGAGGGGCAGAGAGAGACAGAGAATTCCAAGCAGGCCTTGCACTGTCAGGGCAAAGCCCGACTCAGAACTCAATCCCAGGAACCGTGAGCTCATGACCTGAGTGGAAATCAAAAGTCAGATGTTTAACTGACTGAGCCACCCAGGTGCCCCTGTTATCTCAAAGTTTTAGAACCTCAAGAGATAAGGATCACCAAAGAAAGTTTTTCAGAAGTCTAAATTTTATGCCATTAGTAATAAAGCAGTGATTATTTATTCACAATCAAATTAGCTACACTGATTTTTCAGCCCTCCTCTAGAAATGTTATGTTATTCTTTTTGCTTCAAAAGTCCAAACGGTAGAGAACTTATCCTGCCTCTCTTAGAGGAGTGGACAGAGGGAGGTTCCTCACAGGACATGGCTTGACCACTGCTTCCAAGAAGTGGGGTGATTTGATAATGTGCTTTTGAAAACCCACATGATTAGATAGAAACCATTTTCAATATAAATGATTTTCAATCACAACTTTATTTGAGATATTGAAAGGTATTACTATATATGTTAAATATCAAGTAACAAGGTAGCAAAATATCTTAGGATTTGGAGAAAAGTGTATGAACTTTACAAGAAAAAACACCTTATGCTTTCAGGTGCTTTGGTGGCTTAGTTGGTTAAGCATTTGACCTCGGGTCAGGTCATGATTTCCTGGTTCGTGAGTTCAAGTCCCGCATCGGGCTCTGTGCTGACAGCTTGGAGCCTGCTTCAGATTCTGTGTCTCCCTCTCTCTCTGCTCCTCCCCTGCTCACGTTCTGCCTGTCTCTCTCTCTCAAAAATAAACATTAAAAAAAAACCACTTTGTCCTTTTGATCCTTTGCTTTCTTGTAACTTGAATGGATTCTCTTTAATTTTTTTTAGGTTTTAAAAATTTTTATTTTTTTAAAGTTAACATGCATAAAAGGAAACTGAATAACACAAGAAGCAAAGAACAAAGTCATCCATAATCACAAGCAGTTTACCAGCAGACTTCTAGGTCTTTAAATTTTTTTAATGTTTATTTATTTTTGATAGAGAGAGACAGAGTGTGATCAGGAGAAGGGCAGAGAAAGACAGAGACACAGAATCCAAAGCAGGCTCCAGGCTCTGAGCTGTCAGTACAGGGCCCGACGTGGGGCTCGAACTCATGAGCCGTGAGATCATGACCTGAGCAGAAATCAAGAGTCGGATGCTTAACCGAATGAGCCACCCAGGCAACCCAGTCACTTCTTATTAATATCTTCTCCTTCCATGAGTTTCTCAGACACCATATTTCCATCCTCAGCTCCTAGAGATCCTTTGGCTTTGGAGGTCATGGGCCAAATCCCTTTAAAAGAAAGTCACTTGTCTAGTACCCACTATCTACAATGAATCAGTTGGCTATTCAGAATATCTATGTGGCCATACCTCCTGCCAGCAACAGGACTATTCAGATTACTCACCGTTACCAAATTCATATACAGTTCAAATCCACATAGGACACAATGCACTTTCCACTAGGCTCTCCTTATTCTATCCCACTTGTGCTATTTCTTTGACTCTTGGGCTCCTGCAGCACGCTGAGAGAACTACAGGTGAGCTGGGGTCTCCCGGCCACCTGGGGTATGGTATGACCAGACCCTCCTCCCGTTCATCTGGAGTCCTTTCAAGTGACGAGTCAGACACTCAGACACTCAGAGTGTTCTGACTCTCCCTACAACACTTCCCATGAAGGGTTCATTTTTAACTGCCTCCTGTTCTCTCTGACCCACTGAGATACTCCCCCTATCCTTGTGGCCAGAACAGACAGCCTGGGAGTGGGGAACCAAACTGTCACATGAGGCTGCTGGACTCCCCATGATGCCAGGGCCAGATAAATCCCTAGACTACCGGCAAAGGTTCAGCCCAGGGAAACAGACATGGGAAACCACTTCTCACTTTCAGAATATACTTGAAGAGGTTCAAGTTTTCCATCAGGTGAAACCCATTCCACCTATGGAAGGAGATGGGTGGGTAGAGAGAGATACCAGATCAGTGTCTGTAACTGTTCTCTCCCCATCTATGATCCAGGCCAAGGATGTTCTGTAAAAGGCTCCCTCCTTCATGTGCCTTGGCCACATGAAATTTCTCCACGTGCTGACCTGGATCTCACCGGAACTCTAATGCATACCCTTCATCTGGGGATTGATTATTGCTCTCTAATTAGTCCCATGGGTTAATTATTTAAACCATCCCTTGCTTTCCAAGGCTGCCTTACCTGGGACTTGCCTGTGGCTGGGGTGGGGGTGGGGCTGTCCCAACTTCTCTTAAATCCATCTGTGGCTCTTACAACCTCAGCATGAATCAGAGCCCTGGGCCCCTCATTCATCTGGAAGGAAAGGGTGGTTAGCAGGGTGTGTTGAGTTAGAGGTGCCTATGGGAAACGTCTGGTTCTTGTGCTTGTAAGAAAGGTCTAAGTTGGAGATGAAGATTTGGGAGTCATTAATGCATTAGAGATGGCAGTAGAGGCCACAAGGATGAGTTGCTCCGGTGGAGTGAGTTGCATGAGAAGAGAATAAAGGATGAAGCCCTGGAGGACCAACAAGAAAAGGTCAGGCAGAGGTGCCTGCCAAGAAGACTGAGCAACTGGAGAGGCTGCAGCAAAACTAGGAGAGAGAGGTGCTCACCAAAAATACGGAGAAATCTCCGAAAAGGAGGGAGGAGGGGCGCCTGGGTGGCCCAGTCAGTTAAGCCTCGGACTTTGGCTTAGGTCACGATCGGTTCATGGGTTCGAGCCCCACATCTGGCTCTGTGCTGACAGAGCCTACTTCAGATCCTCTGTCCCCTCCTCTGTCTGCTCCTCCCCCGCTCATGCTCTCTCTCTCTCCCTCTCTCAAAAATAAATAAACATTAACAAAAACTTTTTTTAAAAAAGGGGGGTGCCTGGATGGTTCAGTTGGTTAAGCATCTGACTCTTGATTTCAGCTCAGATCATGATCTCACAGTTTGTGAGTTCAAGGCCCTAGTCAGGCTCCACACTGACAGTGCACAGAGCCTGTCTGCTTGGGATTCTCTCTCTTCCTCTCTCTCTGTCCCTCCCCTGCTCATGTTCTGCCTCTCTCTCAAAATAAGTAAATAATTTTTTAAAAAAATTTTTTAAAAGGAGGGGAGGGCACCTGGGTGGCTCAGTTGGTCAAGCCTCTGACTCTTGATTTTGGCTCAGGTCATGATCTTACTGTTTGTGAGTTCGAGCCCCACATAGATTCTGTCTCCCTCTTTCTCTGTCCCTCCCCTGCTTGCTCTCTATCTCTCTCAAAATAAATAAAAATAAACTGGAAAAAAAAAATGAGGGAGGAGTCAACAGTGTCAAATGTTGAGAAGTCTAGTAAAATGAGGTGTGAATTAGATTCAACAACTGGGAATCCACGCGGGACCTTCACAGCAGCTCATTTAGCGGCCTGGTGGGGACAGAAGCAGGGGGAATCATACACTGTGCTTGGCTGCACAGAGCACTCTGGGTACCAAAGAAGCATCTCTGCCTATGTTGCCTGGCAACGCTCACCACCTCTGTTTGCATTTATGTTTCTCTTAGCTATTACACTCAAATACACTGCTGGATCAGTGTGACAGTATGGGATCTATTTTAGTACCATAAAAGCTACTGTAAAAGTTTTTCTGGGTTCATATATAGTATTATTTCACAGTTTACCTTTAGGTTCTGAGTTTGCAAGCTGGTAAACACTTTAATTGTTTTAACATAATATAAATCAGGCTTCCCATGGCAATGCTAGCCCTACGTCCCCAATTCCACTGACAACAACTGGCTGGAGAGAGTAGCAGCCTCAGCCTTGAGCTCTCCATCTGGCCATTTGCCTCCACCTCCTACCATCCTTCCGATTTTTCTTATACTTGGCTAGCTTAGCTCATTTGTTCACTCATTTGTTGGGCCCCTTCTCTCTCCTCAAAGGTTTAACTGTCAAACAAAACATATATTGCATACATTTGTACCACGCTTTCACACTTATTTACAAAACACCTTCCATCATTTACCTCTCACAACCCCCTTCTTCAAGGAATGATTAGGCTCGAAAGGCAGTGGCGAGGCGCGTGCGTCCCCTGCCGTCACTCCGGCGCTCTGCAGCCTCGCGGGCGTGCTACCGCTCCCCACCCGGTCAAGAGCTTCAGAGGAGGCCGCCAGGCGAGTGCCCGCGCAAAGCTTCCTGGGAAATGCCTGGCCTACAAATCCCGGTACGCCCCGCGCAGCAGGCCCGAAGCAGAGGGCGCTTTCTGTGGACTCTGAATCTTGTTTGTCAGTGCCACTGGATACTGCACGAGACCGATTCAGTATTCCCAAGAGGCTTTGGGGGAACATGATATCTCTTACGCCCGGTGCGCACGAACAGACTTTACTTCCGCAGCTTCTTGGTCTTGCTGGTTGTGGCGAATCTGCCGTTGCGTCACGATGGCTAGGCGCGCAGGCCCTCAACGGGAAGCTTGCGGAATCTGCTGCGGGAAGAACGCCCGGGTTTCTTGAGCATCTACAGTCATGGCGGCGACTGCCCCCAGTGCGGGGGGCTCCGCGCCTGAGGCGGCGGGTTCCGACGAAGCCCCGCTACAGTACAGCCTTCTTCTGCAATACCTGGTGGGCGACAAGCGTCAGCCCCGGCTTCTGGAGCCTAGTAGTTTGGGTGGGATCCCGAGCCCCACCAAGAGTGAGGAACAGAAGATGATCGAGAAGGCAATGGAAAGCTGCGCCTTCAAGGCAGCGCTGGCCTGCGTGGGAGGTGAGGCAAGATTGGGGGGCGGGGGGAGCATTGGGAGGCTGAGGGCTTGGACCGCAGAGGGGTCCTCTGCCAGGGAGACCACGCGCCTGGGAGGCGAGGAGCCTGTGGACCTCGACCTTGACTACACCCCTGCCTCGATCCATGAACTCGAGTAAACCCACTCTAAGCCCTGAGGTTAGTTTTCGCCTCTGGAAATTGGATCAGAGAATCGGTACTGTTCGGGCCGGGGCCTGGAGGTTGGCTATAAAATGGTTGGCTTCGTTCATTCATTCGTTGATTCGCTTTTAAATAAGGATTCTTTCAACAAATTGTCATAAGCAACTATCACATGCTTGGTAGTGGAGGGACAGGGGGAGACAAGACAAGAGCCTGGTTCTCATGAAGCTAACATTTTAATATATAGAGAAACAAGAATGTTGAGAACGAACCTGGCAAGAGAGTGCTGCAGACAAACGGGAACAGCAAATGCAAAGGGTCTGGTAGGAACCAGTCTGAAGTCTGAAAAACGGAAAGGCCATTGACGCCAATGTGATTAGATGGCGGTGAACAAGGGGGAAAGACGTCTGGCGTTGGCCCTTCCCCCCCCCCCCCCTTTTTTTTAAACCTTTTGAGGATTTGAGAATGTATGGGGTGCCTCTTGTAAAAAGGTTGGCCACATCTGCAGAGGAGTTGAAATCTCATTGAGAATGAAAGACAATCCAGAAACAAATATAGCGAGAGTTGCAGATGTAAAGTATAGTTGAAACCAAAGAGAGGGGTTTTGTTTTGTTTTGTTTTTGGTTTGGGGAAGGCTACAAGAGGAGGTGAGATTGCAGCTGTTATCTTAAAGGATTGAGAGAATGGGAGTAGACTAAGAGGAAGAGAAATGTCCTTTCAAGTTGCAAGTGGGGTTGAGTATTTGGGCGTTTTGCCTATAAGGCATTAGGGCGGTAATTGATGAACTTGGTGACCCAGCACTGAATGTAGTGAAGGAAAGTGTGGTGCTTCGGGAGACCATATAGGGAATTGGCTAAAGTGAAGCTCTGTGAGGCCTGGCCTTGGTCTTTGGTCATCATTGTGCCTGACTCTAATACATCACTTGCATATTTGTTGAAATGATGAATAAGTCTTTGTAGTGCTCCAGGGTGGAAGTGATAAAGGCCCTAGACTAGGATGGTAATTGTGAACGTAGGGTTGTAGAGGAAAGCAAAGAGGCAGTCAGAAATGCCCTTGAGGGGGAGCCTGGGTGGCTTAGTAGGTTAAGCAGCTGGCTCTTGGTTTGAGCTTGGGTCATGATCTCACGGTTTGTGGGATCGAGCCCCAGATGGGGCTCTGCGCTCACAGCACAGGGCCAGCTTGGGATTCTCTCTCTCCCACTCTGTCTGCCCCTCCCCTGCTCTTGCACACTTACGTGCACTCTCTCTCTCAAATAAATAAACTTAAAAAAAAAAAGAAAAGAAATACCCTTGAGGTTTGAAGTGAGAGTGACTGGAAAGAAGGAGCCATAAGTAAGAAAGTCTGGACGGGAGATGCCCATGATTTCATTAAACATTGACCTTGATGTGATGAGAGGACATGTATATGGAAATGCCCAGCAGGCTCAGGAAGGCTCAGGGAGATGGGGACAGCACTGTAGGATTTGCCACTTGGCAGCTTTGTGACCTTAGGGAAGTTACTCCCTGAGCCTCAGTTGCTTCAGCTACAGAATGGAGAGGATAATAGTATGTACCTCATGGGACTATTGTGGAGAATAAATGAAGCTGTGACTATAAAGTCACAGCTTTATAGTCAGAGTACTTGGCACATGGTACTCAGTGACAGTTATGAATGTCACCATTGTCACGGGAGTGGTATGCAAAGTTAACAGCTGAATGTCTGAGTACAGACAGAATGAAAGGTTAAAGATTGAATCTTGAGGAATTTTAGACAATGAAAGGAGGAAGAAATCCAAAGGGAGACCAAGAAGAAGCTGTCAGCAAGGTAGTTCTTAGCTTGTGTGATGTGGAAACCAGGTAAGTGGAGAGCTTGAGTGGCAAGGTGGAGTGAGGGGGCAGCAGGGAGCGTCCTCTTTGCTGGTGGCCATCCAAAATGTGCTATTCGAGTAGGACCTCATTACAGTAACCCAGAAAACATGCCAAAGAAATCTTCATCTCTGTTTGTTTTTAGGATTTGTATTGGGAGGTGCGTTTGGGGTGTTCACTGCCGGCATTGATACCAATGTGGGCTTTGACCCTAAGGATCCTTACCGTACGCCGACAGCGAAAGAAGTTCTTAAAGACATGGGGCAGAGAGGGATGTCCTACGCCAAAAATTTTGCCATTGTGGGCGCCATGTTTTCTTGCACCGAGTGCTTGGTAGAATCTGTAAGTGTCTCTGCCTTCTGAGAAAGCCTTGCCTGTGCCATGTTATGACTTCTAAAGAGAAATGCTCTGAATGTTAATTAGAAAGCAGATCAGAAATGTCTGGTACTCGCTAAATTGAATTTCCATTAGTCCATAATGTAAACTTCTCGTGCATTTATGATTTGGGCTTGCGTTATTTTTTACTTCTTTTTGTAAGCTAGAAGTTAATGATTTTATTTTTTTAAGTTTTTAAAATTCTAGTTAGTTAACATACAACGTAATATTAGTTTCAGGTGTACAATGTAGTGATTCATCAATTCCATACAACATGGGGCTCAAACTCACGACCCTGAGGTCAATATTCACACTGAGCCAGCCAGGCACCCTAACAGTTCTATTTTTAACTTTCTGAGGAAACTCCATACCCTTTTCCAGAGTGTCTGCACCAGTTTGCATTCCCACCAACAGTGCAAGGGGGTTCCCCTTTCTCCATGTCCTCACTAGTACCTGTGGTTTCTTGTGTTGTAGATTTTAGCCATTCTGACAGGTGAGAGGAGATACCTCGTTTAGTTTTGATTTGCATTTCCCTGATGATGAATGATGTTGAGCATCTTTTCATGTCTCTGTTAGAAGTTGGTTAGGGGGGCCTGGGTGGCTCAGTTGGTTAAGTTTCCGACTTGGCTTCCACTGAGGTCATGATCTCACAGTTCATGGGATCGAGCTCTGCATTGGGCTCTGTGCTGGTAGTGCGGAGCCTGCTTGGGATTCTCTGTCTCCCTCTCTGCCCCTCCCCCACTTGCACTGTCTCTCTTTCCAAATAAATGAATAAAAAAAAAAGTTGGTTAATGATTTTATTTAAAAAAAATTTTTTTTTTTAATTTATTTTTGAGACAGA